GCCGTGAGCAGAGCGGCGGGTTTACTGTCTTCTTGTTTTATGGTTATTTTGTTTAAATTTTTGATGGGGGGGAAAAAAAAAAGATGAAAAAAAAAACGTTGTCTGACCTACCGACCCTATGCTGAAATTTCATGTTACCGGAAACACACTATCTTTTTTGTTTGGCCTTATGCATCGATGTCAGAGTCCTCAATTCAACCACTGGTATTTTTGTTCAGAGACAGGATTTTGAAGCCTTTTCTGTGAGCCTAATAAGTAGTTTGGTTAACGTAGACAAATAATTGAAAATATCCGTTAATGTCGTTCAGTTTGCGTACGAGTGATTCCCTCATGTTAAGTCAACATGAAACAGAATACAGATGCTATATCATTGGAACATGACTAAAACCCATCCCATCGCATCTTTTTTTAATGAGAATCGAGGAAAATCAGTTTACCTGCTGACTGAACTGTCATGCCTGCGATTTGTTGGCAATCAGTTAACGGTGTACCCCGCCTACTGCGCGAAGACAGCTAGGCTCCTGCACGCCCGCAATCCTTGTGAAGTTCAAAAGTTTTGGATAATTGATGGATGGATGGATGAACTGCCTTGCAGGTTCTTGGTATAAAACGAGCAACCTCTGACCTCAGCATAATCCCATTTTCAATACTATGGCTAGCAAAAAGGGTCAGGTTTCATGGAAGTTGTGTTAAGCGGGGTAAACTGAACCCAAACATATTTACAGGTCGACATTGCTGGAGTAATTATGACCAACGGTTTCTTCTTTTATCTATTTTCCAGCAGTCTTTATGACCTGTTTCATTGTTCTGCTTCTTCATTGTTTCATTGTTCAGTTCAGACTCAATAACATGATAGAGTAGTTTTTTTTCACATGCGTAATCTCCCTCTTGACATCCACACCACCATCATGTGTGGAGTCTTGCACATTTTAAAAAATCAGTTAAGATGTCAAAAGTTGGGATGTGTGTCCCCTTATTAAGATCAGACGACAAGTACCACATCTGTTGCTTTTCTTTGTTCCGTCTTCATGGTGACTCATGAATTTCATTGGTCACGCAAGTTTGTTGGCAGTGGGTATTTCAACACATGCTTTTCTGCACTTTTTCCACCCTCTCATTGGAAATCAGGAAATCCTCTTTATGTCTCGTGTCTTGTTTTGTTCTTGATGAGCAGTAGCGGAGAGCAACCAAAATGAACCTATTACATTCAGTTTTGTGTTCTCTCTGTCACCAGCTCCAACTTTGGGACACAGCGGGACAAGAGCGCTTCCGTAAGTCTATGGTGCCACATTTCTATCGTAACGTGCACGCAGTTCTCTTTGTGTATGACATCACCTGCCGGGCCAGCTTCAACAGCCTGACTACCTGGGTAGAAGAGTGCAGACGGAATTCTCTCGGCCAGGAAGTCCCCAGGTAACCACACCGAGTTGACAGGTGATCCGTCCAGGGTGCACTTTGCCTTTAACCCAGCGTCAAATTTGAATTGGCCCCAGTTTGCCTTTGACCTTGAGCAAGATAAGCATTACAGTGACCCTTGCTATCTTTGAGGGATAGCAAACAAGTCTTGCCAACTACCCCCACCAAAAAAAAAGACAGTTGTAATTGCCTATAGATATCACAAGATGGGAGCAAAGCACTTAAAACAGAGATAATCATAAAAAAGATTTTTGTATTTCCAGGAGATACAATGTTTATAGTCGCAATGTACAGAGCTATGCTCAAGTTCAACAACGGAGTGCTATTTCCTTTGTTTGCTGTGGTCTATAACAACAATAAGAGCACTCAGCAAAGGGTTAACACCATGCATCTAGCATATACACCATGATGAACCCATGCTACATAAACACATGTATTCAGAAGTTCATGTATTCAACACAAACCCAGTTCCCATGAAATTTATCAATAGCATTGCCTAGCATTCGAGCAACAGGCTCGGACAAACTAACCTGACATTCACATACAAACAAATATGCGCACTAGCCCTTTACACAAACGGTAAACTCACTTTTTGGTATTCAGACTGCACGGACCCTTAGTGTCATCGGGGAGATAGCAAAAACCAAAAAGTGTTCCCTCACACGAGGTGCATTTTGTGTTCGCTAAAAATAAAGGACAGTACATCTCTAACACAAATTTTTAAAAATACCATTCATGAATTAAACCTCACAACATCAACACTAAGATGCCACATGATGGCCCCAAAATATCTTTATTGGTTTGGCCTGAGCTTTCAAACAGCAAATAAGTGTATTTTCTGAAAAACAAAAAATAAAGATTGGTTCCATTGAAAAAAAAAAAAAAATCAGCAAATAGGCCAACTCCCAATTGTAAAAATAGAGGGGTTCACTGTATTAATAATTCATTTATACTAATATGGTTTGCAAGAAGACCTGAATTAAAGGTATCATTTCTAGCTGATATTTTAGAAGACTTGTATTTGTGCCGATTTCGAAACAGGTTCCTGGTTGGAAACAAGACGGACCTCCGAGATGTTATAAGGGCCGATGGCCTGGTGAGCCAGGAACAGGCAAAGAACTTTGCCAAGACTCACAACATGATGTTTTTTGAGACATCAGCAAAATGCACAAGCCGACCACGATGTGTCAGGGAGGTGCCCTATCAGCGGGATAAAGTGGAGGACATTGTTAATGCCGTCGGTGCCAGACTGAAGAGACAGAAGAATCCCACCGCAGCATACAATCCAGCATACAGCGGCTCTTTTCAAGTTCTCAACAAAAAAAAGGAGAAAGAAATGTGGAGCTGCTGCTGAAAGAGTGAACAACAGTTGGGGGGGAGGGGGGGTGGCTAGGAGACACAGAGACTTCAATATTTATACTTTTTTTTTTTTTTAATATAGGGCATGTTACACAAACATTGTCTATTTGTAGTATTGTATATTATTTGCCAAATAAAATGCCGTAATGTGAATGGAGAGAGCAGTGTGTTTATTTGCAAATTATAGAAACTGTACATGTAAACTAAAAAGCCAGGCAATTATTGAATGAGTATTTCCAGTTGAATTTCTACTTAGTCAAGTGGACTGTACCTTGGAAATGAAAAGGTTCAATCAGGGGATGGAGCCGGGGTCTTTATCTTCCCAACACATTTTAAGAATTCATTTTGAGAACAGTTTGTTGAAAGCCCTTTTACTTGCTTCAGCTTCAGGTCCCAAATTTATAGTGGCAAGGTGCATCAAGGTTAGGCTTACGCCGAAATAAAGGCAAACCAACCGTTAATTAATATGCAATACATTTTATTTACCTACAGTACTTTAGTTAGCGTTGTTCATTTACCAAACATATTTTTCCACGTGTGGGAAATGTTAATTGTGTTGTTGCAAAATGTAGCTGGGCTTGGATGTTTTTATTTTGTAAGATAAGCCCAGGCCAGCCAAATAAAGGACACAGGTGATTGTCAGATGTACGAAACAGCGAGTACCTGCCAGAAATCCCTGAAGCCCCTTCACAGTTGTCGGTTTCTTGGCAGCCTTCCTGGTGGTTTTCTTTTTATCAATTTTAGAGGGACATCCAGTTCTTGATAATGTCACTGTTCTACCATTTTCACCACTTTATGACTGTCTATGTTTCATGATATATTAAACACCTTGAAAATGATTTTGTACCCTTCTCACATGGGACACCTTTGAACAGCTTGATCTATCTATCTATCAGATGCTATGGAAACTCTCTGTGAAGCATGAATTAAGATGTGACTACAAAAATGTCGGAAAAAGCATATTAAAAAAACCTGAACTTAAATCGGGGTTGATCCGAGGTACTTCAAATTGTGGCAAGTGTGTGATTAGTTAATTCTGAGCATCAGCAACATCCCCAATTCTAAGAGGGCAGGACATTTAGGCAACCGCATAATTACAGTATTTTTTTTTCTCCTCTTGAACAGATTTCATTTGGTTTCAATCGAGTTGAACGAGTTATGGGTCACATGAACGGTGTAAAAAGTTTCGAAATATTTTATATTTGTGCATTTCTTTTATTGCAAAAACCTGACATTTGAAAAAGGTGTGCGGAGACTTTCTGTCTCCAACTGTAGATGTAATAGCTCTGTGCTTCAATACTTTTGTCCAGACAGTTTGACAGTTTTATTCACAAATGTCAGCTCCCATCACCTCCATTAAGCAGATATTTCAAAACAATTTCCGCTTCTACTTCACATGAACAAAAAGAAAGCCGCTTAGGATCTGAAACTACACAATAAAGCTAATGCAACAGTCAGCTAAATTCTTCTCTTTCACTACAGTCTACCAAAAACAGGCTTTAGACGGTTAAGTATTTCAGCAGAATATCAGATGGGTCAAACTTCATACATCATGTGAAATATGGGGGCGATGGAAAACGGATCACATGATGTGTCTCTAAGAGATGACTCAGGTTAACACATGACGAGGCGAACGTCTTTTCGACTCCACATCTGTAACACATCTGCATGGAGGCAGGCCTGCCAGTATGTGTGTGCTTTTGTCCTTGTGCATGAAAGTTCCAGATTCTATCACAGTGGTGCAACAATTACCAACCAAATGGGACATGGCTCCGCACAGTGAACTTAACAAAGTTGAGGGGAAAATGATTGACTGATGATTTTCTATGGTGATGTGAGTCGATCACTCACATCCAATTTAGGCTGGGAGAGTTTGACACTGTACAACTTTTATGATTGAAATGGCTGAATGGCTTTCAACACGTCAAAATTGTAAGTGACATATTTTAAGAATCAAGTGCTTACTTTTGCACATTCAAATTCAACCAGTTGTGTATTTTTTTTCAAGCAGGTGATATTGCGACTGGGATTTGGTTCCTAGAGCTTAGCAACATAAAACCAAAAACCTTCAACAGTTCCACGCTGAGGTGTGACATGGGACAGACAGGTGGATGTTAATGAAAAATTTTTGTTCCCCTTGCCAAACCTGAGGACAAACACAACAGGGTTCTGCTCCTATCTGCAGCCCTACTAAGCCATATGCTTGACAAAATAACACATTCAGAAGGGTGCCACAATTTGTGAGGCCGGCAAGCATTTTGTTAATGAAACAGATGAGTGACAAAGAATGAAAAGCTACCACTCTGGAAGCTACAACAGCTACAACAAAACCACACAATACATATTTAGGCATTCATGTATACAGGTATGTTGTGTATGCTAAGCTAAATATTAGCTGACCATTTGCATTTGTGTTGACCCTCTATTTTAGTTCCAGTTTCCCATCCATCCATTTCTGATCCGCTTTATTCTCACAAGGGTCGCGGGGCGTGCTGGAGCCTATCCCAGCTGTCTTCTGTCAGTAGACGGGGGACAACCTGAACTGGTTGCCAGCCGATCACAGGGCACACAGAGACGAACAACCATCCACACTCACACTGACACCTAGGGACAATTGCATAGGTGTCAAACACAGGTCCTGGAGGGCCGCTGTGCTGCATGTTTTCCAAGTCTCCTTGTTGCGACACACCTGATTCAAATGAACAGGTTCAATGTCAGGCTTCCGCAGAGCTTGCTGATGATCTGATCATTTGAATCAGGTGTGTTGCAACAGGTACACTTGGAAAACATGCAGGACAGCGGCCCTCCAGTACCTGAGTTTGACACCTATGATTAGAGTGTTCAATCAGCCTGTCATGCATGTTTTTGGAGTGTGGGAGGAAACCGGAGTACCCGGAGGAAACCCACGCAGGTACGGGGAGAACATACAAACTCCATACAGGAAAGCTGGAGCTGGAATTGAACCCTGCACCTCTGCACTGTGAGGTCGACGCGCTAACTACTCAATCACCACCGGGGCCGCCCTCCGGTTTCCCTTGTTGGCATAAAGAGGTATTTTACTGGTTTACTTACCCTATTTTGACCGGTGTGGTACCAGGTTAAGGGATGATACCCAAGGTTGGGCATCATCCAGCTCTGGCCTTCCTGTGTGGAGTTTGCGTATTCTCGCCGTGCCTGTGTGCGTTTTCTCCGGGTACTCCGGTTTCCTCCCACATTCCAAAAACATGCATGGAAGGTTCATGAAACACTTGAAATGGACTTTAATATTCATATTTGTTGGAAGCACTGACCGTGGCGTTTCAGACTACAATTGATACATTAGGTTTCACACAGATAATAGATGAAGGGACGCATAAAAACAGCAGCTGACCCCCAATAGCTTCCCCCACTCAGCTCACGATTTCATGCATTTTTTTACTCAGAAGATTCAGCTCATTAGTGCTTTGTGCGCGACTTGCAACCAAACCGAGGGGTATTCCGCTTCCCATCTCGTCATTTGCGACCCGAATGTCAACAGGGGTGTCGAAAACGGACGGACAGCAACGTACGGATTTTACATTCACTTGCTAATAAATATGGACTACAAAGCAATAATCCCCCGTAGGAAAAAATTGAATGTTTAGGTTTCCAATTTCAATAAAGTTTGTTGAAGAGCCAGCCAATGAGAAGCATTGCTGGGTTTTACGTTTTGTGCGTCATTTCCGTAAACTATACGTGTTTCCGCTAATTGTAACACAGTGATACCAGAGGAACTTGTGCTCACGAATTTGAGGTTGATCTGTGAAAGCTTCTTTGTTCTCTGGTGCTGTCCGAAACAAGTTTAAGCTCTACCATGGTTGACAAAATGAGCATGTCTCTGGACGACATTATCAAGCTTAACAACAAAGGAAGCCGTGGCGGAGGTGAACGTTCAGGTTTCGCCGGTGGGTCCTCGAGGTCGGAGCGGAGTCGACCCAATCATTTCAACCGCGAGAGAGACAACAGGCCCGCACCGTACACCAGAGTAAGAATGAATTTCAATACCTTCATTGAGTATCTTATACCCTTGGTCACGGTGCCCCCAATGTGACATAGAAAGGGAAACAAAAGATAAAGATTGATAAAATAGCGAGATCTTGCAAACACTGTCATTCGCATCATGTGCTTCCCGGTCAATTTCCGGCTAAAACAAGCGTAGTCACCTAGGGTTGCGCAAGTTGCAAACGTGAGCCCGGGAAGTTTCATTTGGAGAGAGCTAACAGAGTTATTTATGATTTTTTTTTTTTCCGTCGCACGTTACCATGTCAACTGGCGCCTATTTCGCGTCATTCCTTTCATCACGTCCTTACCAGAGTGTAGCTGAGAGGAGGCAGTGGACAACAGGTCCTACCCCCACCACCACCAGACGCCTACACATACCAGGGCTGTACAATAAATCGAAAAAATAGCGACATCGCAATAATGGCCTGTGCAATTTGCGTATTGCAAAGACCTGCAAAAAGATTCATATGCAAAATGTATTCGTATCTGACTTTGACCAATCAGATGCAACCTGAAATGAGCATCGCGATCTAATTGAACAATATCTAGGGATTTTACTAACACAAAACTACTAATATATATATATATATATACACACACACACATGATAACATTAATTCGCTAAGAATACATTGAGCCAGCATATTTTACCACATTGGAAAAAAACTCACATTGGATAATATGTATTTTATTTAGCTACGTGTTAAATATTAATACTGCAATATTCAATACCCATATTGCAAATCATGTTTTTCCAATAACGTGCACCTGCATCCTTCACATACTTTTGAATGCATTAAAAAATTAAATGTCTTTTTGATATGTCCTAACATTTTTTTTCTGAGCTGCGCTTACTCTCATGAATGGTGGCGGTGCAGATGATCAAACACACGTACAGGAGACGTGTGCTACCTACTGGTCATGGAGTGGGTTAAACGAGCAATGAAAGTTAAATAAAAGTGCTCACGGTTGATAATTTGTGTTCAAGCTATAGAATGAGTCGGTTCATTATTGTCAAAATAGCACCTTCAGGCGAAGGAGGCGCTATCAGACTCCGACATCCAGCACAGAAATGGTAAGCATGAAAAAATTGAAGTGTTTTTCGGGTCGGAGACTGCGACCAAAATGAGCACATGTGCGCTCATTTTTTTCAGCCTTTGCGATTAAGAATTCCATCTGGTCATGTTTGTCTGAGTGCATACGTTTTAATGCTCCCTTATTCATTGCTGTGGCACATGCGTAGTCGGGTTGCTTTTATACATTCAGTCCGCATGAACTAAGGGCGACCAGTGATAAAATCAGCTCAGTCCCTTCCAAATCATTTGTGATAAATGGAGATGACGACATTTCCACAAAAGAGTACAACATTGTCTATGCCCAAACTCTTGCGTTTGAAAGACCATCCAACTCCTCATTGGCTACATCAAGATTGAAGATGCCTATGCAGAAGGTCATGTGTGGTTACATATGTAATATTGATCACAACGAAAAATGCTCTTTGTCAGTGTTTCACAAATTTTCTTGAGCCAAGGCACACCACATAGTGAAACAAGTGACAAAAAATGGGTATACTGGTTAATTTGTGTACAACATTGTCTGTCATCTCATGGTGGAGTATGTGCTTGTTTTGCCTTTTTCAAAATAATTGATAGTTATAATTTTACCCAACACACCTCTCTCACTGCATGCTAACGTGCCGTGGCACACTGGTTGACAATTACTGCTCTAAGTAGTCCTATCGAAAATTAAGAATTGTATGTTTACATATTACAGAGATGAAAGTCCTCCGGATTTTCCCGGAATTCCGGATTTTCAAATTTTAATGAAAATTTCTCCGGAGAATTTAGGTAAAATTGCCTAAAATTAATCCGGATATTAGTTGACAACATTGGACGAACACGCGTTTGAGTTCGTTGTTTTGCTTTCACGAGCGTAGCCATGTTGAGGCACTAACACTAATTACAGTAAAGAGATTTTCGTCTCTTTATAAACACAATTGCTCAACCCCAGTGGAACGAATAAAAGACGCCGTGGACAAGACAGTCCGACTTCGAGTGTCGTCTCGGCTAGCTTAGCTTTTGTCGTGTGTGTGACGTTGGTTGCGTTGGCGCTGATTGGTTGAAATCAAAAGAGGCGCTTGCGTACATGTTCGCGCTGACGCACGCACAGCAGAGAGCAGCGGACTATCTACTGCTGATGTTGTTGTTGTTGAGCGACCGCCAACCGGGTCCCAAAGCAGTTCCGAAAGCCGCAGCGACCCGGGTACCTGCAGACCCAGTTGTCGGCCGTTGACTGGGAACTGTTCGAAGCCCGAAGGCACGCCCAACACCGCTTGGAGGTCGTTCCCGAGTTGGGCATCTACTGCTGAGGCACGCTTCACTCGAGTGGCGTCGCCACAACAGTAATACCCTCGCCTCGCATTCTCATGGCCTCGCCATATCTCGGAGATTTTGAAATTTCAGTGAGAACGCAAGCCACGAAGGATGCACGTGTGCACACAAAAGGAAGATTAATCATTGAATGTTGAGTATTTGAATAGCGTTTTGTGTAAACTAATTCATGCGCGATCGGCCAGGTGTGTGTGCGTGTGGGTGTGTGTGTGTGTGTGTGTGTGTGTGTGTGTGTGTGTGTGTGTGTCCGTAGTTGTGGGACCCCTTCCTTAACCGTTCGCGCCCACATTATTACTACTTTGATTCCTTCACTCTTTTCTTGAAACCCAAAGTAAAGATTGTCATCTTTCATAAGTTTATTGTAGCCCTCAGACTGCTCCAGTGTAAAAGCCAACGTCCCAAAGCAAACATTACAATTTTATCATCTGGTGGTCTTCCCTCAGGGCAGATGATGTTTGGAGTGGTGACCGATAATCTCATGCACACTGAGTTTATGAGTTGAGAGAGCAGATGAAGCCCACAGCGCAGGAGAGTGCTCAGCACGCTGATACCCATGAATTTCTCATTTTGATGAAAACACAAAGACAATGTGCCCGCGTTCATGGATGAATAAGGAAAGGATTCATATTTGAGAGGCTAAAATCTGCGGATTTTGACGTTTTAATTTTTTTTTTCCCCCGTGCTTCAAAACCTTTTCACTTGCTTTCCGTTTTGTGTGTAATATGCTAACTGACAAAAATGATATTTTACTCAACTTTGGTCTTCAGTGTTACCATTGAATTTTTAATTATTCATACAATACAATTTATGGGTACTCATGCCTTCCTGTTATTGTGTTTTACCTCAACCACAGTTTGATAGTTTCAGCAGTTTGGTTTTTTTTGGGGGGGGGGGGCTGTGGAACGGACCAGTTTAATTTTAGAGAATGATAATCTACTTGTAAAAATAGGTTTATCCTGAACAAGCTGTTCCTCCCGCCACTTATGATGATGGTGATGATGATGCCACGCACACATCCTGCCCAATTGTGTTGTTTTAAACCAATCTTTTTTGGGTCACGGACCGGTTGAGACAAGTACATGCTGATTGCGAGCCGGCAACCATTTTTTCCCTATTGCTTTTAAATTGGCAGTTTTAAGCAGTGATACTGACAACAACGATAATTACAGAGTACTTCAACATTTGATTAACATTCATTCCTTTCATACGGTGTTATTCTACTGCACAACAAATGAAGAATAAAATAGCAGTGAGCTACTAAGAAATTGAGCATTTAGGAATAATAAATACACCTTATCATGTAAACGTAATCATTTTTGAAGTTACAATCCTACATACGGCGTGAGTATCATTACTACTTGTAAATGGGACGTGATTGTTGATTTCATCCGGTGGCTGCCGGCTAGTTTATTGGTGACTAAACTGCTAAGGCCAAACAAAAAAGATGTTTCCGGGAACATGAAATTTCAGCATAGGGTCGGTAGGTCGGACAAAGTTGTTTTTTTTTTTTCTTTTCTTTTTTTTTTTCCCCCATCAAAAATTTAAACAAAATAACCATAAAACATAAAACAAGAAGACATTGAACCCGCCGCTCCGCGGCCGGCGCCGCCGCCACCTATTTAGTTTTCTCCTCGCTCCGGACTCGGGGGGGCCGGGGCGCGCCGCCACCTCCGCCGTCCTCCTGCGCCCTCGGTTTTTACTCGGCCCGTGGTGATCATCAAATAGTTCGGTGAATTTTTTTCGATACATCAATGGATGCTATTTTCTTAACATTACGGAGCGAGCATTCGACTGTAACACAGAAAACGCGATTTAAATGTCGTCGGAGATCGCGGCCGCCGCCATGTTTCAATGTTGTTGACAGACGACAGGGCAAACGACGCACGCGCTCAACGTGAATATCGTGAGAGTTTGCACCGATGTAAACCCTCTACACAAAAATGTAGAGGGTTGTTTGAAAAAAATGCCCACCGTAAAGTTTTTTTTCGACGTTGAAATTCTCAGTCGGTCGGTTTACCGGAAACACACTACTTTTTTTTTCTACGCGTAATGTTTATGTGGGCAGGCTGTGTAAACTCTGCATTTTTTTCATGCTTTCCACTTGATCACTTGGGTGCAACTTGTTCAAATGACTCATCAGGTTTCTTCTATTGTTTTTGTTTTTGACGACATAGCACGGACACCAGCTTCCTCTTCTCAGTCTCTGAGAGGGGGGAAACTTCTCTTGTCAAAATAGCTTCACCTTTGAAAGTCGTTGCTGCCCATACGTTTGGTCAATGTGTTGTTACTCTCTGTGTACTGCTTCTTCTTTCATTTATTGGCGGATGCTGTTTATTCCAACTTGCAAACCAACGTTAGAAGGGGGACTCCGATTGGCCAGAGTCGCGCACATTCCCGCCTTGTCAGATGAAGTACATATGCTCACAGCAGAGCTCGCAGATCTGTCTCTGTGCGGCCTGGCACCAAAAAGGCGATGGCCCAGTACCGGTCCGAGGACCGGTGGTTGGGGACCACTGTTTTAAACTGAAGCCATTAATTCACTATTGGACCAAAATACATCATTGTCATAGAATGACAAAGAATGATGTCTGGAAACATCAGAATCAGAATCATCTTTATTGGCCAAGTATGTAGAACACACAAGGAATTTGTCTCCGGTATAACACGCTGCATTAGTATTATCATAAACAAGGACATGACAAATAAGTATGGAAGGACATTCCATAATGTAAGTGAACCGGAGTGCGGTGGTACCACCCAGTGACAACTGTGAGACAATGTGCAAAGTATCAAGCAGAGCTAAAGTGATCAGTGGTAGAATACTATAACAGTTGTACAGTTGGTGTAGAAAATCATTGAACCATTTTAAAGTGACCAGTAGCAGTATTTGTAGTACAAGTGTGCAATTGTGCAGATGTCCTTGAGCGCTTTAAAGTGTCTGGTGCGGTGGAGTATACATCAGTGACAGTGGTTCAAGTAAGTACAGAGCTGGAGCTACAATGATTATAGCGGTAATGCTGTTCCACAGGGTTGTGCAAAATTGCAAAGAGCCACTATACAGGGTTACTGTTTAGGGAGGCTAAAGGGAAGAAGCTGCTTAATTTTAAGTGTCTGCTGGATTTGGTGCACATGGATCGGTAGCGCCTGCCTGAGGGGAGTAGCTGGAAAAGGTGGTGGGCAGGGTGCGGGGGATCCAGTAGGATTTTCCGTGCCCTTTTCTTGATTCTTGCAGTGTGCAAGTCCTCAAGAGTGGGTAGGGCAGTGCCAATGGTTTTTTTCTGCCGTCCTAGCTGTCCGTTGAAGTCGGATTTTGTGGCAGGCCATGCTTCCTCAGCAGGATGTTTCTGCATCACTTTGAGCACAGTGATTGAACACAGCAGCACTGTGGCACATTACTGGATTGAGGATAAAGAAAGTGGGAATATATACTGATATACGGATGGAAGAATAATAACCTAAACACGACATGTCTCATTTACAGCTGCAGAAGGAAGAACTTAAATGATATTTTCAATAGGAACACAATGTCAATACAGTACTTATTCATGCATTTATTCATTCATTTTCCGAACCGCTTTATCCTCACTAGGGTAGTGGGGGGTGCTGGAGCCTATCCCAGCTGTCTTCGGGCAGTAGGCGGGGGACACCCCGAACCAGTTGCCAGCCAATCGCACACAGAAACAAACAAGCATTCGCGCTCACACTCACATGCAGGGACAATTTGGAGTGTTCATTCAGCCTGCCATGCATGTTTTTGGAACGTGGGAGGAAACCGGAGGACCCGGAGAAAACCCACGCAGGCCCGGGGAGAACATGCAAACTCCACACAGGAAGGCTGGACCTGGAATTGAACCCGGTACCTCTGCACTGTGAAGTCAACATGCTAACCACTCACCCACTGGGCCGCCTTCAACTGTCATATATATTTTGAGGATGACGACCCCCAGTGGACAACAATGATATCTGCACCTTGCGTACACACGAATGTGGGAGCTTTGTGAGATTGTCTTTTTTTTTTGTTTGTTTGTTTGGAGGTTTTTTTTGTTTTTTTTTTTTCAAAAATGTGTTCTTCTTGCACGTCCCCTTAGGAGCATGCACCTTGCGTACACACAAATGTGGGAGCTTTGTGAGATTGTGTCTTTTTTTTTGTTTGTTTGTTTGGAGGTTTTTTTTTTTTTTTTTTTTTTTTCAAAAATGTGTTCTTCTTGCACGTCCCCTTAGGAGCGACATAGCAGCTTTACCTCATCGAGACTCAACCTACTCGACGCAGCAGACCTCCGTGCCTGTGTCACCACTTTTTGATATTCATTGTTCAATCAAGATAGCTTCTGCATGGCTCTCTGTTGTTGAGAGGTTGTTGGTGGTGAAGCTGTCTGCTGTTGCCTTACATCAATTTTACTCCAAAGAACAAGGCCAGCTCCAAGGGTGACCTTTCCAGGCCTCTCAACTCAACTGTATTTATAGAGCACTTTCAAACAGCCATCGCTGCATACAAAGTGCTGTACATGGAGCAATTCAACATATACAACAAACAGTAAAGCAAATCGGTAATAAAGACGGTAGAAAGCACCGAACAGCAAAACCAAGAACAAGTGAGCCTCTGTGTAGTTGTTCATCCATTGATGGTAGTGCTGGTTCATGTGGTGTTTTAACTGCCAATGTCTCCCTTTCCAGCCCAGAGAGTTGCCAGACAAATGGCAGCACGACATGTTTGAGCAGCACTCTGGTGAACACAGAGGACAGAGCTCAGGAACAGAAAGAAGAGGAGAAAATAGGGCTAAGCTGCTAATTTCCAATCTGGATTTTGGAGTGTCCGACACAGACATTCAAGTAATTTACACAGCACTTACACTGCACGGTGTTGGCATCACAGTGACAATGACTGACGCCTAGCTTCTCCCTCCAGGAGCTATTTGAAGACTTTGGCCCTCTGAGGAAAGTAGCAGTCCACTATGACCGGTCTGGTCGCAGTAAAGGAAGTGCGGATATTTGCTTTGAAAATCCGGCAGACGCAATCAAAGCCATGAAGCACTATAATGGAGTCCCTCTTGATGGTGAGGATCTGCCTCTCAGACAGCAACCTGAGTCCATTAATCCAACCCCCTTATCCTCATCATAATGCCAATTGATCTGTAAATGCACTCGGGTTATAATCTCACTCTTTCAGGTCGCCCAATGAAGATTGTCCAAGCGACATCAGACGTTGACTCTCAAAGTAGACAATCTACACAGAGGTGAGTGCTGTACACTGTCATTGAATCATCTATATGCCTGTAACTATCAAATATTTTGATGTCCTACTGAAATGTCTATCGAATAATCCAGTATTCAGATGAAAATAAAAAAATGTATATATTTTTTCACGTGGTCAATGAACAATTACAAAATACAAAAAAAAACATTTACACTTAATAAATATTATTATTACTTAATAAATGATGACGTGGTTTTCATTTTTAGACAATCAACATTTTTTACTAAAATTTTAATTGTGCTGAGCAGCACACGGTTTTCCTCTGTAGAAACATTAGTGCAATTTTAGACGTTGACGTTGATAGCAACAATTTGTGACGGCAATATAAATGCCCCTACCACAGTCACTAGTCCGCAAGACGAATCAAGTCAGCTGTTTCCCAGCAACAGGCTACTGGGAACAACTTCAAAATAAAAGCACACCCAGGCATTGACGTCCATATATTATTTGCTAAGGCTTATTTTGAAGTTGCCCTTCTCACCCCGTTGGAACGGTGTTACTGTTATGCAGAGCATGAACAAATTCTGCTGTAGTTAGCTTCACTTTGTCTTCCTTATAGTGTACATGTAGATAAGCATATACCCGAAGCCGAAAGAAAATCCTCAACCATTTTTTTTCTTCAAACAGGTATTCACATTACGTACTTGTAATTCGTTTCACCCCTAAACATCTGTGTATCTGGAGTTGTTTTCCTGTTGTTGCCCAGGGTTCCCACGGGTCCTTGAAGTTCATAAAAATCCATAAAAAAGTTGTAAAATTATGTTCTTAATTGTCCTTAATTTTCAGGGAAAGCTTTAAAATCAATAAAAATCCTTAAATGTATTTTCGAATAAAAGTAATTTAAGTTTTATATTTTCTAAATTAACATTTTTCTGAGTGTGCTTTATTTGAGAATGAATTGAAGTTGTTTTTATTTTCCTACCTGCAATACAGGTAGGAAAATGAAAATTTGACATATAATATGTCGAAGGGTTAGCTCAGGGGTCCCCAACCACCGGTCTGCGGACCGGTACCGGTCCGCCGGGCATTTGGTTCCAGGCCGCACAGAAAGAACTTGCCTTAATTCCGTTTCATTTATTTCGGAATACGAAAGATGTTTTATTTTGAAAAACTACCGGATTCTCCGTTACACCCGTCTGTGTCACGCTTGACACACGTCAAGCCACGCTTCTCCAACACGTGACCGATTACTTCAAAACAAAACGCAGGAGCTCGTAAAATGAGTAAAAAAAACTGCTGGAGGTCGCAAATGACGGCGGCCTTCAAAGTACGCTCGAGACAACTGGATTAAAGTTATGGCTGAATACTCTGAGATCGCCACAATAGCACCACTTTGAATTTGCGTTGTATTGTATTTTGAAGACATTAAACATTGCCATAGCGATCGGAATGTTGCGGCCAGATTAGACGCCCCTTGTGTTTATTATTATATTTCGAAAACACCACAGTTTTCATGCAGCTCATACCATATTATTTTGTTGTATTATTTCCGCCACACCTTAAATGCCGGTCCCTGAAAATATTGTCTGACATAAACCGGTCCGTGGGGCAAAAAAGGTTGGGGGCCCCTGGGTTAGCTGATTGCTCCTAAAAATAAAGATGTGCCCTTCCTTTGGCAGTAATGATTTGAACACCAGCGCAGTGAAATGTGGCTTTCTGTTCAGCCCCCATATTGCTGAGTGGGCATTAAATCCACCGTGTGTCCCCTGCTGAATGGAGAAAAAGTCCTTTAAAAATGGCTAAATAAGCCCTCAAAAGTCCTTAAACGGTCCATAAATAAAAAGCAAGTGGAAAAATGGGAACCCCCCCAATACAATTTTATTTGTGGTCTGCCCATAGTTCCAACAGAGGCTTTGACAGGAGTAGGCTTGGTCCGCCCACGTTTGACAGGAGTGACCGAAGTGAAAGGAGGCAAGACGGCAGCAGTGGAGGCTCAAGAGGTTGGGGAAGAGGGAGAGGAAGAGGAAACAGACCCCAGCTATCAGCTGAAGAATTGGATGCTCAGTTGGACGCTTACAATGCAATGGTACAGTATGCTGTGGTTTTACACTTGCTTTATTCACATCCACTGTCTGATATCTACCAAGTGTGAAAACTAATTGTATTTGATGTCTTGTTGCTTTGTTACAGGCAAACAACAATTAGAACCCTTTTGGAAAGAAACATAAAATCTACATTTTTGGGGATCATGATGGATCTTATTTAATTTTTGTCTTGAAACCATTTTGCCGGTTGGAACCATCTGTTCCGTTTTAAACATTTTTACAGTTTTCTCAGTTCCAAATTTGTTTTGTTTTTGGCAACACTGGCTTTTGCTTCTTAAATAGCTTTGGAGTTTTTTTTAATTGCAAGATAATTTAGTACTTTAATACCCTTTTTATGTTCAAACGTTTCATATTATCTGTCACTTGGTACTGTATATTTGATATGTGAACATCCCAGGGTTTTGTACATAAATACACAATGAAAATTGTGTTGTTGGTGTGTTCATTTTGAAATGCCTCCTCACAGAAATGAGTGATTATGAACACTTGTGGTAAAGTACAGCAAATGCATCACAGATGACAATACTAGAAATGTACTTTTCTATTCATGTGTATATTTTTAAACTTTTTACCATACAAATGGATTTACTTGTTTTAGGAGTACAACATTCTACAAGACATGATGGAACACTTGTGAAATCCACACACCACTAACTCATATCATGGGATTCATGACCCAGCCGAGGTTAACACTATTGAAAAGGGGGACACGGAACAACATTTACGATTGTTTGAAAAAAAAAAAAAAACATGCTGGAGTTTGTATTCTGTGATGTGATGTGATGTGATGTGATGTGATGGCGGTTTGAGGGCTCCGCCTATACGTATGCTAGACTGACAGGCTATCCGTCCCCCGACCCGGAAGTGCCCCGTCGCCTATAAAGGGGTACATTTTCACATGTTCCTCGCTTACGGCCATACTACCCTGAGAACGCCCGATCTCGTCCGATCTCGGAAGCTAAGCAGGGTCGGGCCTGGTTAGTACTTGGATGGGAGACCGCCTGGGAATACCAGGTGCTGTAAGCTTTTGCACCCACGTGAACACTCTTTAACGTTATTTGGCGCTTTCTTTCCTCAATTTTTTCACCTCAGCCTTAACTGGGAGACCCACAACGTTTAGCTGACATATTTAATTCTCTAATGGCTGTGTTGCACTTCTGCTGGAAAAGCCAAATTTCACAATAGACATGAGGTACCGCAGCTGCGTGCTCGCAGCGGACCGGAGACGAGCCTGACAGGCTGTGCGCTCAAAACGCCAAGGGTGGCGGTCCCTCCTTCGTGCACTCGGGAGGAGGGAACGAAATGAAAAAAAACGCCAAACCACTCGCCCCCCATCCCTCCCCCGACCCCGAAGTGCCCCATCCCCTATAAAGGGGGACATTTTCACTTCTTCCTCTGCTTACGGCCATATTACCCTGAGAACGCCCGATCTCGTCCGATCTCGGAAGCTAAGCAGGGTCGGGCCTGGTTAGTACTTGGATGGGAGACCGCCTGGGAATACCAGGTGCTGTAAGCTTTTGCACCCACCCCAATTCACTAAAAAAAAAAAATAACCGCTCTTTTCTAATAATTATTTATCTCTTTCATTTGTCATTCAACTTACACTTTTCCTGTGTTTTGAAATCGTTTCCGTCAAGTTGATTTGACAGATCAACATC